ATATTTTATTAAACCTATTAATGAATTAGACATGCATGGACATTATGTTAAGAATTCATGAACATTGTATTGTGCATTTATGGATATTATGTTGTACATGATTTGAGTTTCAAATTATATAAGGGCAAAATTGTACTTTTTCTCCCAAGAAAAATTATAACAAGGGCCCTAGGCTTGTAGTGCAACATCAAAATATACTGGGTCTATAGTGCAATTTTTTTTTTTTTGTTTTCAAGATCCTTAGTGTGATCTCCCCTTTTAATAATAAGGTGTGAAAAGGAAGAAAGTGTAAGGGAGAAAAGAATGTAAGGCATAAATATAATTTTTTTGCAGGCCTAATATGTTTTGATATTTCTTTACAAGCTCGAAGGCCTCCAATGTAATTATTTTCAAAGCTGAAAATACTATATTACCTTTAATGAGTGAGAATAAATGTACTCAAAGAAAATTAACAATAAAAGGCTTGTAGATAATAAAAAAAGTTCACTTATTTTCAACAAGAAGTCCATTTATTCACAAGACTCCATAACGATTTACACTTGTACTTGAAGAAATTTACAAGTTAACTACATAAAATTAACATCAAAAGGTCCATTAATAAGTTTATTTCCCTAACAAAAATAATATTTGCTGCTAAAAAATAATATTTCATTAAAAAATATAACATAAATATATATATATATATATATATATATATAGTCATATAAATTATTTTATCATATTTCTAAACCCTGACTTGTTGTGTGGGACCATTATCATCAATGGCAGCCCCATGAATACCCCGACGATACCTTCAATATATTTATTTAACACGGCAGTATATTTCAAAACTCAAACTCAAGACATAGGATAACTTGATTTAATTGTCTCAACCAAATGAACTAAGTGCTTCTTGGTAATTATAAGTACCACAAATTATTTGACATTTTGATTTTTTTTTATGAAATAACATATTTGCCGCCAATTCAAAATTTAAAATGAAAAGTAACGGTTTAAAAAATCAATGACTATTTTGTTTGGACTGTTCACTAAAATAGAATACAAAGTGACAAGTTCCTTTTTGCCATTTTTGTTTACAAGTCAAGTGCAACTACTAAAAATCAAATACTGTCTATGATTGGGAAATAACTATTTTGTCTTGAAAATGACTATAGCTGAATAATAAATGACAAGTGCCTCTGGAATTTATTTTTATCAATCAAGTTCAAGCACTTTAAATCAATGACTAGTTACAAATTTTTGAAAAAAATTTTATCAATCAAGTCCAACTAGAAAATCAGTGTCAAATTTGTTTGGGCTGTTGACTAAAATAAAATAGAAAATAAAATTATTTTTCTTTATGTTGATTTATCAATCAAGTCTACTAGCAATCAGTTAATATTATGATTGTGAAACGATTGTTTTGTTTTTGGAAGTTACTACAGTATGCTGAATAGGAAATAACAAGTGCCCCTTTGCAAATTTTAAATTGAGGGTAAATATATCATTTCACAAAATCCAAAATGCCACAGTCCCTATGGACTGCACAAAGTTATCAATTTTTGAGACATTTATTTGTCATTTGAATATTTTAGGGGTGTTTTTTTTGGTCATTCCCTGTTATTAAAATAACTTGTGGGATGTGACTCATGAATTTAAGTAGACTTAATTATGCCAAGTAATATTACTTGTAAATCAATGGAAAGTCACTCGTAAATAGATATATAGTGTGATGAATTTAAGGACAATTACTTGTGAATTTTAGAACTGTTACTAGTGAATTTATGAAAATTCAGTTGTAAATGAAAAGGTAGTTTCGTAAATTTATGCATTACTTGTGATTTAGAGACAATCAGTAGTAAATTTATGAAATGTCACTTTGTGAATATATAAAATGCCAGTTAAGAATGAATATGAAGAATCTTTTTTCTTTTTCGGTTTATAGATATGAATAATCTTTATTGTAAATCAATGATTTATGGACCCATTTATATTTTTGAATATCTATTCACAGCTGATTTTTTTTATTTTTATAAATTCACAAGCAACTATTTTTAAATTCACAGGTGATGATATATGTACTCATGAAACTATATATCTTTCCATTCACACAATTGATTTTTCATATATTTATAAGTAATATTCCTTAAATCGCAATGACTTTTCTTAAATTCACAAGTAAAGTTTTCAATTGCCATTAATGTCTTCACAAGATTTATAATTGTGATTTTCCCATTTAAATATAGATGTTAAAAACCTTTAATATTGTAACCGTTAACATATGTATTAATTTGTCACGATGACATTTCCATCTAAGTAAGTTGGAGTGAGAGATTATAGACGAGATAATTTTTTTGTCTAATCTATATCATTATATTTCTGTTATATTTATCAAATAGGTGTTTTGTCCCACTTTCTTATCTATATTTTTTATCGTTTTGTTAGCATAATATAGCATTCATAATATTAAGACAATATATATATATATATATAGAATAAGATACGCAAAAAACATCAGAACTTTAATAGTAGGGACTAAAATAACAAAGAGTTTATAAATTGAAAGACCCAATTGCAAGGTTTAAATCATAAGGATGAAATTGAAAATTCTGGAAAGCTTTCAGTAACGTCGCGAACTGTAAACAGTATAGTTTAGTTTTACAAATAAATTAATAATTTGGGCTCACATGACCGAAAACTTCATATGTTCACATTTATTGTTGTCCTTGAGCACTAAATATGTCACGTTAATTCGTTACGTCATAAGGACTTTCACAGTAGGGATTAAAATAACAAAGAGTTTATAAATTAAAAGACCCAATTGCAAAGTTTAAATCATGAGGATGAAATTGAAAATTCTGGAAAGTTTTCAATAACGTCACAAACTGTAAACAGTACAGTTTAGGTTCAAAAATAAATAACTTGGGACCGGAAACTTCATATGTTCACACTCATTGTTGTCCTTGAGAACTAAATATGTCACATTAATTAGTTACGTCATAAGGACTTTAATAGCAGGGATTGAAAGAACAAAGAGTTTATAAATTAAAAGGCCCAATTGCAAAGTCTAAATCATGAGGACGAAATTGAAAATTCTGGAAAGCTTTCAATAATGTCACGAACTGTAAACTGTAAAGTTTAGGTTTAAAAATAAATTAATAACTTGGGACCGAAAACTTCATATGTTGACATTCATTATTGTCCTCGAGCACTAAACATGGCACGTTAATTCGTTACGTCAGCTATATTACATCACGTTATGTCAAGTGAATGGGATGGGATTCGTTTTTCGCTGTGTAGGGGGATGTCAGATCATAACATGTTGCACGACGAGGAGTTAATACTTACTAATTCATATTTAATTAAATAAAGATGATGAATCATTCTATTTTCACATTTAGCGTTTGATTGTACATGGAATTATCTCTAATTGAAGGATAACCATGAGCAATAAAGAAAGAGATAAAGCTGAAAAATTATTTTATTTTTATTTGTTTGTCAAAAATGTTATCTTTTTGTCTAACATATCAAAATTAGAGTCATTTTTATCTTTCTGTTTAATTTTAACATGTTAAAATTAGCAATGAATTATGCCACGATCAAACAAACACCATATTATATATGGTTTAATTAATCATCATACCCTCAACCACATTTCTCATAAGCTGCTCCGCACACTTGGGGTGCATTTGGATTAATGTTAATATGTGTGTAATACATTTATATTTTATATAAATTTTGCTTTTGTTATTAATAAAGAAGATACCATTCTCTAATAACATAGACCATCTATATCGAGATACTAATGACACAGAGTAAACCCTCCTAAATTTAACCATTTGTTTAAATAGGTGAAGTGCTTGGACCGTTAACATCAAGGTATTGAAAATTGAATTGGTTAAGTGACTAATGCACTTGGAAAATTGGCTGGTACAGTCTGATTTTCAATATCATGGTTAACATTAACTTAAGGTTGTTATTTTATACAGAGAATCACATTTAAGGTCCAATGCATTATGGATTGGCTAAGGGATTGATTTACAGAGCAAACAAGCCCGTGCAGTCTAATTTTAATAAGCTCAAATGCCCCAACTACAAATATATATTTGTCATGAAAAGGCGTGTTTGCCCCAATTGTATAGGTTTCCCAAGTGTGCATGTACAATATAATATACACAAATAACATGACAAGGTCCATACATGAACAACACATTTTGATCATCTCTATTGAGTTACTAATGACAAGAGTAAACCCTTTGTGTTTGGCTTTAGTGCACCATAGTGCCTTTTCTTAATTTGATAAAGTTATCTCATCATCAATCTGGACAATACAGATTTAAATTGGATGGTTCAATTTAATATTAAAATTTTATTTAATTCTTATAAATTGACTATTTAGATGTTTTCTTGATAGTCTAGACTTAATATTAAAATTTTTTAAAATGTTTTAAAATTTTTATTTTAGTAAATATAATATTATAAATAAAAATAAAGGTAATCTTCAAATTGACACTTTAAAAAAATTAAGAAAAAGTTGCAACTTGAAAATTATATGTTAAATTTGGATTATCCATATTATATCTGGATAATCAATTTATAAAAATTATAAAAATATTTAATATTAAGCTGGATCATCTAGATTAAATACACATTGTCCAAATTGATGATATAGTATATTTATTATTATTTATAATTTTTATTTTAATAAAAATAAAATAAAATATAAAAATAGAGCCTATAAATCTAAACCGTTCAAATTAGATTGCTCATCATGTGATAAGCACCACCGAAACCAGATGCAAACCCCCTTAAATTTAACCATCTGTTTAAGTAGGTCGAGTGCTTGTACTGTTAACATTAACTCAAGTGGGTTATTTGATGTAGATTTTATCGCAAGACAATTGGCCTATAAATATGCTTTGAGGGGGAGCCAGCAAGCTCATCAGCACAATCATCTGCCCATCTTTATTTTCCAATCACAACACTCTCTCTCTCCAAAGGTGCTGTTTCTTGGAAATACCATGGCTTCCCTAGAATCATCACATGCTCTGCCTCCTTTGCCCGAATCCATCAAACCAGTCCTTAATTTGTGTCATTATGATGAGTTTGGTAACACAATCGAGCAAACCCTCCATATGGATGCTCTGTTCACGGTCGTCTCTAACATCATGGAAGCCTCACTCAAGATCTCTGATCCAAACGTAAAGGTGCGTATGTATGTGTGTGTCTATATGTATGTGTGTGTATCCAAACGGCAAATAACTAAATTTTTGATTAATTTTATTCATAGCAGAGAAATTTGAGTCAACCCGTTTGGCTGAATTAGTCTGTTAAACTAGTATATTGACCAGTTTAATAAAATACTTTGTTTATAATCACTTCGATCACAATTTGATTGTAGTTTTGAATTTTGATCATTAATCTTTGAACTAGTGTCTTGACTAGTTCAATAATTGATCACGGTTTACATACTACAGCTTAATGTTAACAAGGAGGCCAGGTCAAGTCCTTTCGGTTTCAATTCACCCACAGAACGGCTTCGGAAAATTGCTTGTCAGGTTAGATGTTGTTCTATTTTAAACAGATATATACATATATACATATATATAACAAGTTGTTATTAACTCAAAGTAATATTAAGTCAATGTCTTAAATTTATTTATGTTGACACACAGATGAGGAGTACAGTTGTTGATAAGGAATACTCGCATGCACACGAAACAGCAGAGAGGATAATCACAGATCTGAAGGAATATCCATGGCATGCAAGAGCAGTGATGGCACTAGCAGCATTTGCTTTAGATTATGCGAATTTCCATCTTCTTTCTCAGGTTAAAGATGGCGACCACCTTGGAGCATCATTGGCTGTCTTGAATGATGTTCAAGGAAGCATCATCAGTACTAATAAGGAAACCGTTTCCACATACCACTGTCTGGTGAGGAACGTTTTCTTAACTGTCCAATGTTTGGTTAAGTTGATGGGAATGTTGCAGCGACATGATCATGCCAAATTTGAGGACATGATTCCCACTTTGGACAAAGCTAGGCATGAATTCCCTGATTTTGTTTATTGGGCTGTCTTTGCGACTGTTGTTTGCAGCAGCACTCTTTACATGGGCTCCAGTCGTTGGTAAGTTCTTCATACTCGGTTAAGCTTGATACCATGTTAAAATTACATGTGACTATATTTAACCTAGCTAGTCCAATATAACAAATATAGGTTAAACAAGCTGGTTGCTACTGGCTAGCCAGAAGTTAGCACAGGCTTATGTATGTATAAGGACCAGGTGGTGAGCGTTCTCTCCTCCGCTATCCATGGCATTTAGAAAACATCATATCATTCTAATTAAATCTGAACAGATTAGATTTAACGTTTTTATCTTTATCTTTATCATTATCTTTGTTTTACTTTTATTAAAATACATTTATATAAATTATAAAAAAATTGATAAATGTGTTTACCAACCTGAACAGTCTAGATTTAATATAAATTGTTCAAATTTAATATTAAAATTTTTAAATTTTTTATAAATTGACCGTATACACATGCGCTATATGATATTAGTTTTTATAATTTTTAATATTAATTTTGGACTATTCCTGTTAAATTTAAAATATCTAAACTAGTGATCAGATTTATTAAAAAATTTATCATTTTTATGAAATATAAAATAGAAATCAAAATTAAACCATTAAATCTGGTCCATCTAGATTTTATCTAGACGGTCCAATTGTTTCCTTAATGTAGTAGAGGGTTAGATGAGAGAATGCTCAAAGGAGGGAAGCCGGGTATATACATACACCTCTAATCTATTTTATTCCTTTATTCAATTTCAAAGGCAAGGCTTCTTGATATAAGAGCCAGCTGAAAGATTTTTTATTTTTTTATTTTTTGGATCTAAATGCAAGATCCCGATCTTCTTTGTTCTCAAACTATATACCTTAACAGGGTTAGTTTTTAAGGAAGTGTATTTTAAGCAAACCACTGCCAATACATGCTTAATAAATAACTAAACAAATATCCTTATAATCTATGTGAATTGGTTATATATTTATCTCCTACATTTAGTACCGGGAGAAAATTAGTTTGGTTTATGTAGTCATCACACTTTCTATTACATGCTGTTTTGCTTCAGGGTCAGCAACGGCACACTATCCGAAACTAGAGACTGGATTTCCCATGTTCATGAAACATTAAATGACTACCTGAAGCAGATAGAGGATGTGAAAGGTTAGGATCTTACATACTAATTCTAATTATTATTTCTCTAGTACCATTTATAAGTTACTTCTAACACGTTTCACCTCAAACAAAAAAAAACCTTAAAATTGATCATTAATTTTGCCTAAAATTCAATAACTTTCTAACTCTGTCATCATCTTATCATTTTCTCATTGTTATTTGACCGGTAGTGGATCTTACATTGTATTTTTAATATTTTTTATTATAAAATATTTGAGTAGAGGAGCAAAAATGACCCTTTGAATAGAAGTTGAGAATGAACTTTAACATGATAAAAAAAATACTAAAACATAGTGGGATCTATTGATTATTAATAGACGTTAAGTGTTTTTAACGTCAAGTTAATGATGGAAGGAATCTTTAAAGTTAAGAGAGAGAATTAACTCATAGTTAAATTTAAGGCATTTGTAACCTTTTGTATATAATTCAAGAATAAAAATGACCCTTAGTCCAATAAGAAATAAGACAAAAAAAAATCTTCTTTATCTACTATTGTAATAGGACCTCAGAGAGTATGTGTGTGTATATATACATATATGTATCACCAACAAGTTAATTGGCACTAAAATATGAGGGAAAAAATGGTGTCATTGCAGGTATTATGGATGAATATTTACAACGTCAAGTTGGGGCATTCGTAACTCCTACAGGAATTTTACAAGTTTTGAAGTGTCTGTTATTCCCCAAAGATACGAAGAAGCACTCCGTGTATTACGGCTCCATGAAATCAAGGGTTAGAACGTCGAATTATACATAGGATTCTTTTTTTTTTTTTTTTGGCCAGTGTATAGGATTCGATCTGTTTAGACTAATAATTTCCTTTTTTGGTGTAAGCTTTGTTAGAGCGATATATATATATATATATATATGAGATTAATCATTACTCATCAGTTTTATTTCTGTTACAGGTGAAGATCGATGATGAAATGTTCAACAACAATGTGTGTTGCTGTTCATTTCCGAACTGTTCGGCATCGAAGAGGAGATTAAGCTTTTGAAAAGAATCAGCGAAGATTTGGCCTCAGATCCAAAATGTGAAAAACATGGGATGCAAAAGAATGACTATTGTTTCTTCTTCTTCTTCGAAGAGTGAGAAGATCAAGACACAATTCAACGTTGTCGCACAACAATTTGTTACATGGTCGTGTGTGGTGGATTATTCCATTGTCGAACCTGCAAGCCAGAAACTGATCAAACAGGAGCTGGGGTACGTGAAAAAGCCTATGGTTGTTGTGTTCAACCAGCAAGGAAGAAGAACAAATAACGATGCGTTGCCCATGTTATCTGCATGGGGATGCCATGCATTCCCATGGAGTACAGGTGATGATTTGAGTTTTGTTCAGAATTGGAACTGGTTCTGGTCAATCCTCAAGACCTTCAATCAACAACTAGCAAGTTTGGTAAGCTTTTTTTTTTTTTTTTTTTACTTTAGTTATACTCGATATATATATATATATATGAAGCACCGATATTTTAAAAATGTAAACATGGCGTTATATTATTTGATAATATGTATCTGATATGATACACATCCTATGGTTCATGATACGTGTTGCATGAAATATTTCCATATTACTCAATCCTGTCCTATTTATAAGATGTTTTTGACATATTTTTCATGTATTTTAAGTGAAGCTGCTATGTTGTTTTATTTATTAAACAACATTCTCAACTTTACAATTATTTCTTTGTTAATTGAAGGAATATGATGAGTCATCTTGTTAGTTTGAGCAAATGCTTTCTCAAGTTAAAGGATAAAATTAAAAAAAAAATTTGTTCGGCACGCCTATTTTGAAATAAGGCTTGCTATTGTTGTTTGACACACCATATAATTAGAATCACATTCCATCTTTTATAAAGAACCTTATAAATAGGATTAAAGTAATCTTTAACAACTAAAAAAATGATAGTCTTTGTTAATTGGTGAAAATATCTTTATATTTCTTTGAAAAATACTTGTTCAAAACTCAAGATTCTCATACCTATACACACTCAAATATATATATATATGTATGTATGTATGTAGACTAAAAGCTGCTACGTCTTAACTAAATTGCCAACAAGTGACATGTAAATTGATATATATCAGAATGAGAAAGAATACAACATTATCTGCGGATGCATGGACGATGTGGACACCAGCAACTACGATGGTAACTGGTTGGACAAAATCAACTTAGAGTTGGAAAAAATCAAAAGGGACAAGATCATAAGCTCAAGTGGTTTTGCCATAAAATACTATCATCATGGCAAGCAGGCTGAGAATGACTTCAAGTTTGCATATAAGTTCTGGGCTTTTGTAGAGAATGTGTTCAACAGCTTGAAAAGTAGGAAGACAACTATCGAGGACGACCCTTCCTTGGGCCATCTCGAGAAATTCCTCAGCCTCCGGCGAGAAAAGTCCGGCTGGATTATCATAAGCCGAGGGTCCGAGGTTAAAATAGTTGGTTCTGGTGAGAGTGTCTGCAAAACTCTCTCCGAGTTTGAGTCGTGGAAACACGATATCACTCAACATGGCTTTGATGGGGCTTTTGCGAAATACTATTCCAGCGTGTTTCCACCTCAATCAAGTTGTCTCTACTTGGATCTGAAGACCTATGTTACCTTAGAATGTGTGACATGCCAATCTGAGATGGAGATACAGTTAGTCAAATACGTGTGCTGTCATGGCAACCATAGCCATGCCAAATCTGTTCATCGCCTTGCATGAGTCCTTTAATGAAACGTCGTCGTTTTCGCTGATGGGCCCGATGCTCAGATTTGGAGGAAGGAGGAGGTGTTGTCTTGAATTATGGGCTTGTTTATGCGTACTGTGTCTTTAGTAAAGCCTTTCTATAGGGCTTATGATAATATTAAAGCCTTCGGGCTATGAGTCTGTTGAATTATTGTATGTGTCAGTGTGTGGTTGTGGATTTGTGTTATCGATAATAAAATTCCTCCTTCGGTTTAAGGATATTGTATTATTATTATTATTATTATTTGTTTGTTTGTTAAAAAAAACGCTAATTTGAGTATGTTGAATACTATAAATTTTAAAATGTCCCTCCCAATAAAATCTTAAAATAACGTTATTCCCGATAAAGCTTATTCCCTTTTGCTGTTCCAAACTCGATCGCTTGTTGTCACATGCATACTGACAATATAAATACTTGGGAGGGAAATTTGATTTTAATTTGGAGGTTTCTCACGGCTTCGTTGGCTTGATTTCACACCAGGAAGGAAATTTGAGTAAGATTTCACTTGAGATATTGTATTTATCCTTCACATTTTTCTTTGCGGTTTCTTCTTTGATAATGTGGATATTTGGGTCAAAATTAAACCTCCTGTTTTTGGATACATTGCATTTTCTTAAAGATTATACAGTAGAAGAAAAATTTGACATCAAGATAATTTTCAAGATATGTAATTTGCATATTTGAATATATGGAAGCTGGATTGCTTCTTTTTTTTTTTGAGAGTAATTGCATTTTTTTTTTTGGAAACCTTGCTTGACATATTGAACCAAAAGACTGTGGTTGAGATATTGACATTGAAGGACCATGCTTGGCATTTGGACGCCAAAATTATTAATAGTGATGGACCTTGTAACTTATTAAAAAATGGAACACCTTATATGAAATATTTATGGTGAAGAACCTTGTTTAACTTTTTTTTTTTTTATCTGTAAGGGTGTTATTTAGCCCTTAACAGTTATTTACAGTGAAGGACTTTCTTTTTGAAATATGTCCCAAGACTTTATGGGCTAATGAATTGGAGGTGATGTCCTTTATAGCGGTTTTTGCTTTTAAATATCGTGGTTGGTTGAAATGCAAATATGTCAATTAAAAATTTAGTCTTATGTCAGCTATGATTACGTCACAGATATTATTAAAGGTACAAATATCAAATTATTCCCAAGGACCAAAATTTTCAGGGGAGAATCTCATTTAGAGCCCCCAAAATACAAAAATTTGCATGTAAGACCCAATAGAATCTAAAAATGCACTGCATGCTAGATGATCTTTTTTACAAATTTTGTTGTAGATAACAAGATGCATTACCCTTATCTTAATAGAATATCCATATAGATACAATATAATATCCACAAATCCTCAACATAATGTTTATAAATGCACAACACATCTAGTGAACATTAACTTAAAGTATGTTATTGATGAATTATAGATTTTATATATTTTATCCCACCTTCTCCATACATTTTGATGATGATTTTGGACTAATTCGAGTTTATTAGATATTATTTAAATTATTAGCCGATTGAGGAATAATATATTTTGGAACTAATTATAAGAATTTTGAGCTTAATTGTGACTATTTTATTTTCCTATTTCTAATCTGCTATAATTTTATCAATATTTAATTGAGCTTAATTTGAATTATCATACATAATTTGAGTTTTTGGCCATTTTGAGAAAAAACTTGGATGAGATTTATGAGGCATGAGATCTATTTTGAACATAATCTACACTAATGGGTGCATTTGATTTTTTTTAAAAGTTATGGAAGCAAAATTAATAAAATTCAATGGTAAAGATTAGTTCTTGAATTCCAAGAGACATCTAATTGTCAAGGTTTTGAAATACAAAGAAGGAATTATCAATATTCATTAAGGGTACAATGTGTGTCACACCCTAATATTTAAGGGTATGATTGGCATGAAATATGAAATGAGATTATATTCTATAAGTCTTGATTAATGAGGATTTAACTAAAATCACTACTACAAAAATGGCAATATTCAATGGTCATTTTAAATAATATTCAACGGTTATGAATTGTTGAGTAATCAGGCTCTAAATATATTCTAAACCTTTATTCAATAGTTTTTAACCATTAAATATTTAACCTTTATTCAACGGTTTATTCTTCAAAACTGTTGAATATATGGCCATGGGATATTATTTTTTAAAAAAACTACTAGAAAATATGCAACGGTTTTACAAAAAACCGTTGCATATACTTATATATTCAACAGTTAAAATATTAACCATTGAATATATGGCTAGAATATGCAATGGTTTTTTTTGAAAATCATTGCATATTCTTAATATATTCAACGGTTATAAAATTTAACTGTTGAATATTTTGTTTTACATTTTTATTATACATCCTTTACATTTCTAACAACTCCCTACATTGAATATTTATAGATACAATATACAGCACATCCATAATAAAATTTCAAAAGCCAACAATATTATACTATACATAAAATGATAAAATTTACATAGTACATAACTACATAAGCTATATACAATTTAAACTAGCTTAAATTAAACCTATAAGTGGCCAAAATAAAGCTTCATATCTCAAAAAATTGACCAAGTAGGTATAACTATATGTATGTCAAATTTAAATATATGCCAACATCATCTATTCCTTCATTGTTGATGGTTGTTATAGCTAAACCACGCTTGAAAAATGCCACGTGTTAGCTCTTCAAGGACTTCTTCCATTTAAGCCTTAGTAGTACTAATTGCAAAAACAACAAACTAAAGTCATGTTAATTACTAAAAATATTAAATAATAAAGAGAAGGTCGACAATATATATACATTGTCTGGAAGAGTCCCAATAGTAGTATGTTGAATTATGTCCTTCATATATCTCATGATAGCGTACCCACAATCCCTAGCTTTGTCATGTTGTTCTGGGAACTATGATCACACATTGGATAAAAAATCTGATCAGTTAATGATATGACATGACTTATATTTATGTTGTAAACACACAATTAATGATAAATATATATACCTTAATAATTGTCCATGATGTTGCTTTATCAAGGGGACCGCTACCCATTATTAGTTGTCAAGATTGCTGATTAACCTTAGTGCGGTACATGACAATGGCTTTAACATGCAATAAAAAAGTTGATGTGAGAAATATGCATATAAGGAGAACGAATTACACACACACACACACAAAAAATATATATATATATATATATATGCACAAAACTTAGTGAACTTGCTGATTAATCATCTCTACTATATGCG